ATGTAAACTCCGGGATCACAGCAGAGCATTAGCATGGCATAGCTGATTAGTAAACCAGGAGACATCACTCAAGCAGTCAGGTGCATTACCAGATTGGAAAGTTGCCTCTTTACTGAGTTGTTGGTCACCGTGAGAGGCAGCAAATGATGCCCAGTGGCCCAACAATTTGCCCTGGAATGGCAGGAGCTGTGATACAGAAATGGATGGACTAGCATCTGCTCTGAAAAAAAAGCAAGAATTAGAGTCTGCTCTGTATTGGCAGGAGCTACAGTACCGGGAAGAGAGGACAAAAGGGCAAGTCAGTGCACTACCCAGGGATATTGAGCAAGATGAATAAAGGGGCTGGGAATGTACTTTCAGTGCTGCAGCACCAGACTCCGAGAACAAATAACCTGATCCAGTTTAATGAAGCCTGTGATCCTCCACCTCCTTTGTGGAATGGGTGTCCCAGGGTCAGCGTGTGCCCGCACAAGCATGCACACATCCTTATCTTATCTAATTACTAGAAGTTTCAGATTAATTTCAGTGCAGCTGCTTGAAAGGGCTGTTATCAGCCAGGGCTTTGTGGTTTAACCTTGTTAGCCTTTTGTTGTTAACCTTTCCGAATGGCAGCGAGGGGAAGGCTGAGATCCTGATGTGCTGGCGGAGCAGGGAGGGGGCAGACGGGAACTGGCGGGTCTGCACCCCCCCCTTTCCCCCCAGTTTTTTTGTGCATTCAGCTCCACTTCAGGCTGGGTGACAGGACAGCTGGCTGCTTACCTCCGCTGACAGGCGCTGGTACCCAGCCACACAGAACAGCCCATAACAGGGACACGTCTCCTGCCAACCTCTCCAGATCCTTTGATATTTCCAACAGCCCAGTAAAGGACTCTGACGCTCACATTTTACCTTGCATCGCTCAGCTCCTCTAAGGCTGCCCTGCTTTGTTTCCATAGCTACACCCAATCGCATCTGGCTTCCTGTGAAATTGGATTTCAAAGCAAGACAAGCCTTCAAAGGAATTTGTCCATTTAACAGAATATCATTAGGAGAGAGTCTGTCTGCTGAACTTGGGACCTAAAATGATTAAGGTGGGGCTTTTATCATGTAGGGAGGCAGCTTTACATCTACAGCCCGTAGAGCTTGATGCTACAGAACAATGATGCAGTGGAAATTGCCAGTCACTGCCAGACTCCCCCATCTCCTTCCACCTGACCACAAAACTGAATTTGTAACCTATTCGCGCATTCAAAAATGAAAGTGGCAAGAAAAAAGAAAAGGGGGAAAAAGGAAAAAAAAAAAAAAAAAAGGTCATTTGCCTCAAAATCAGTCTGCCTGGCTTTATCTGCAGCTGCATAAGGTTGAGTGGAGGGCTTGGCTTCATAGCACCTATGTCTCTGTGGCAGCTGAGGCTCTATGCCTCAGTATTCCTCAGTAAAATAGATTTAATAATAACAACAGCTGCTGCGTGGTCAACCTGGTCTTAAAAATCTTCCTGTAGGGCCTGAGGGAAACATTCTAGGTGCTGGGTCCTGTTTCCAGCTGCCAGGACCATGGGATGGATGTGCGGTCCAAGAGCATCCAGGGCGCCTCAGCCTCCACACAGGAAAGCAGCTTCAATGCGTTATGATAACCTTAAGATCTGTAGCAAAAGACCAGAAATCACAACTGCAGTACATGTCAGAAGGTGAGCAGAAAAGATCCGGAGCTTTACTGATGCTGTAAACACCGCAAGAGCAGGAAATTTGTTGGGTGAAATCCCCATATGCTCTTCGGCAGTGGTCACACCCAAGGCAGAAAAGGAAGGCAAACCCACAAAACGCACCTGCAAAACAAGTCACGGATATTTTGACAAAAATTTCCTCCAGACCCTAAATATGGTAAATCGGTTTAACTCTTGAGTAAAACTTATTGACCAGGTATCTTCTAGTTCACTCTTTACAATGCTATGCTTTTGGATTATTGTATGAGCCACAGAAATGTAGAGACCACGTGAGATGACCCTTTTCTTTACAGTTGCATGAACATTTCTTCCTCGGAGATTTGCATTGATCAGGTTTTATTGATCTTTCTGGCATATCTGAAGGCAGTTTCTTCCATCTAAGTGACTTAGTTCATTCCTTTATAAACTCATTTTTAAAGTTAGTCAGTCTCAGCAAGCAGCTGCTTTTATTTGTAGTCTGTAATGAACTGACTGGGATTTCTACACAGACGTGTTTAAATATTTATCCCTAAACACCTCCAGGTGAGAACACACACACAGATCCATCTACCGTCCGCATCCACCTACACCCGCTACCAATCCTTGCATGAAATCAGAACCACTCAAACGTGTCAGGAGCCTCAGGCAGCTAACAGAGATCCACGTTTTGCTCCCGTAGGAGACTCTCAATTTTCTAAATCCTGACTCATGAAACCCTACCTGACTAGGAGATGTCACAGGGAAGACTACTGCCATGTATATGCGTCCTAGCATGGCAACGTCCTGTGTGAGTCCTTCTGACCTGCAGCCACATTTTCTGTGCTTTAAGAACTCCGTGTCTGCTGAAGAGCACTTTCTTGTACGTGTTGTCCTAAAATCAAGAACTTGCTGCGGTGGTGGTGTCAGTGCGGGTGAGCCCGCGCAGAGGAGCCCAAGGCAAAGAGGGAAAGACAGAAACTCAGAGTTGAAAACCTGTGAGGTTTTCTGGATTGGTGACGTGGGCTGTCTCCAGGTCGTTCTGACATTACATGCGCGTACAGAGCGGAGCCAAGTGACACATCAGAAGCGGTGGTGTGTTTCTTTTCCCAGATTCGGAGAGCAACTGAGCCTCCCTAAGCAAGAGAGAAAACACACTGTCTTCTCCTCTTTACGACTAAACCCCAAATGGCAGCTGCCACTTCAGCCTCGCCACACGAAGAGACTCTGCACAGAAGACAACGGCACTTCTCTGGTAAACCAGCTGCACCCACTAAACGTGGTCATTTCGTCGTATCTTCACTTCTCCTTTAAAGCCATCCCTTTTGACAACTGTTATTTATACGTGAGTTGTTGAGGTGACGTCCCCGTGCATAAAAGTAAACCAAAACGTCGCAAAAGAACTTTGCAGCTCCTTCGCAGGGTTTCCCCTTTCACTCCACCGTGGAGACGATGCACTAGAATTACAGGCACACCCCCTAAACCAAAAAACACAAAGCACTGTGCTTCATCTTCTACCTGTTCTTTATCTGATTTGTACTGATAAGTAAAAGCATAACAGTCTTTTCCCTTGTGTCACCCCCTTGTCTCGGAAAGGGGGTCACAAACGTGTTAGCAGCAGAGAGCATACGGAGGAGAATCTCTCTCATATATTTCCATCTCCTCCATACCAGCCTTTGCCCGTACAGCTCTTACGTCACATACAGGAGATGAGCCTGAAAGACACAGATTGCCTTGACGGAACCGAGCAAGAAGCTTGAGGCACATCTGGAATCTGCTCCAGTTCCCTTCATCCAAGGCCTGCCGCTCAACAACTTTATTCCATCCAGGTGACACATCCAGAGAGCTGTAAGAACCAGATTCTGCAATTATTTGGAAATACGCTCAGTCTCATGACGTGGCGTTGTCCCACCGCCTTCGGTGGGACTGTAGTGAAGTGTTTGTGTATCTCTGTCTTTGCAGGCTGGGAGCCCAAGGCACAATTTTTTTTTTTTTTTTCTTTTTTCCCCTCCAGATTGTGCTTTGCCAGCTTGTGATAATTACTGTGGCAGGCTGGCTTGCCCAGAGCAGGAGGACAGCAAAGCAGCAAGAGAAGCAGTTTTAGGGGGCCTCCTTGGAGAGTTCAGAGTGGCCCTGCCTCATCACATTATGCTACACTTTAGTGCACAGGCCCGGCTCTCCACGATCAGGAGCTGTGTTGTGCCGCTGCTGCAAGCAGCGAGCACTAATTCTTGTGAAGCTCTGTGGTTTTCTATCTGTGGCCAACACAGCTGGGTTGCACCCTTTTCTATGCCATCTCCAACATTTGCTATGTTGGGAAAATATAATTAAAGATTACACGTCAGGCCTAAACCACCAGAAAAGTAAAAGTGGCAAGCACATTCAGAATAATCTTTTCTGTGGGCTATAATAATAATAATAATAATAATAATAAATATTTGTCTAATAGTGGGATATTGCAAAGAAAGGATTGGATCCTGCACACTTAACCCATGGGAAAATCTTAAACTGGTCTTTGGAATCATTGATGAGCTTCAGATAAAGACGGCTGTCTTTGGGTTTGTCGATACTGAGCCTAAAATTTGGGAATGCAAGAATGAAAAATAATAGCCGTATCCCCATAGTCAGCTTGTGCTAATTCATTTATATAGGAGAGGGGCAGATGCGGGGCTGCGGGTTAATCTAATGCAATGCCACTTTTGTTTCGCAGAGTGCAGTTTGCATTTATCGCCTGTCATAAAGCAAGTTAAAGTGCGCAACCCTGTTATTTCTCTGGGCAAGACATAGAAATATGAATGGCTCTTACAATCCAGCCCCCTGCCTATGCAGGATGCAGGAAGAGAGGAAGTTTTATTGCAGAAGAGCCAAGCACCATTCTCTTCCCCTGCACATTAGAGGAGGGAGCCTGCCTTTGCCTGGAACAAATCCAATTCCCCAGCTCCTCTTGTGCTAGGAACAGGCACAGGAGGTGGAATCAATGCCCTGGCAGAGCTCAGGGGGCTGCTCTGGCAGCAGGAGCCCCGAGTTGGGTGATGATGATGAAGGCTTGTGCCTAAGTGCCACCTGATTAAAAGGCTGATGCAGGAGCCTGGGTTCACTGGGCTGTTTCTGGGGTGGGATCAGGTATTTTATAGCTTGTTGGGTAGAACTTAGGCTCTCGGGAGTGTGGAGGTGCTCAGCATCCAGGGGAGTTGGGCATCTTGGCTGCCTACAGGGCTGTAGATTGAGCTGGCTGGGGCTGGAGGAGGAGGAGGAGGTATTTGAGCAGGGCCCAGAGGTTCCTCCTACCTCTTTTGGGGTGTCTCCGCCCTCTTTGCTTTCTTCCTCCCTGCCCTGAGGGACAGGAGCAGTAGCAGCAGGTTTGTCTCTTGTAGCAAAGAAGGTGGCAGGTATCATGATCCCAGAGGAGATTCAGAGGCTCCTGGAAGGTAATCACAAATTCCTCCTTGCTCCTCCTCTGCTTCGTGGGAGAAATCTGTTGTGGTTGCAGGGGATGAGGTTGAAAAGCTTTTTGCACCTCACTGTGCTGAGCCAGGGAGATGAGTGGAAGGGTGGTGGGAGCTACTTCTCTAAGGCTGATGGTTTGGGGCTTTATGTAAGCCTTCCCTGTCCCTAAACCCAGTGAGAGTGCAGGGGACGTGGCTGCTGTCCTGGTGTTTTGGGGGTTGTCCTCCTGTTGTTCAGGAGTTGGCAGGTGGGTCCATGCTTCTCTTAGGGGTAGGGAAGCTCTTTGGTGCTTCCAGAGCCTGTGTAAGGGGAAGAGAGTGTACGTAGTAAGACTGAGGGGTTTCTTCTGGGGTGGTCAGAGGATGTCACCACTGAGTGCTTTCTGTGAAGGTATTGAGTGAGCATCACTAGGGTGAGACAAGGGACAGGATACAAGAAGTTTGTGTGCTACAGTGAGCCCTCTCAGGCTTTTGTTGTGGCTGTGGCAGTTGGTGTCTCCTGGCTCTAGAGGTTCTGCAAGTGTTGTATCTCGTGCTGGAGATGTGGTGAGCAAGCTCGTTTGATTGGGGCTGCATCCTCGGGAAAGCTTCAGCCCCGCTGGAAATGGGGGTACAGCTGAGAGGGCAGCGCTGGCTTCGAGCCCTGCTCCTGCTTGGTGCTTGGACTGTGAGCTCCTGAGGTCTCAGCTTTTGGGTGAACGAGCTGTGCTGAGAGCTGACAGCATTTCCTTCTGTGTGTGAGATGGCGGGTGTGAGGCTTCTGAAGCTCTTTTTCATGGATTTCCTCACAAACTTGAGCTGCGACATCTCCACTCCTTGAAGTAGTGGGTCAGGCAAGTAGAAACCATGCCGAGCTCTTCTACTGCAATATGCTTCACGAGAGGGTTCTGTACGGACCTTTGCAGCCGCTGCTGACCCCGCGGTGTGGTAAGCAAGGGCTTGGCGAGAGAAGAGCCGCGTAGAGGTAACCACACCACAACCTGCCCCTAAATCAAGCTGCAGCAGCACCACGGGCCGGAGCAGCGGCGTCAGCCCCGTGGTGAACACCACATGCGCGTGCGTCGCGCGGTGGGGACGGCGTTGTCGGCGTCTTGCTGCTCCCCGCTCGGAGCAGTCGTGTTTGGGGTTGGCCCCGGCCGCCGCAAGGCTTTGTGACCTTTTGTTTCCTGCTGCAACGGCTCCCGGTAGCCCAGAGCAGTCGCCTCTTCCCCGCCGAGGAGCAGAATAACTTCCAGTCCTGGGGATCTGTCAGTCTGAGCGAGGGAGCACGTGCAGCCTCCAAGCCCGTCAAAGCTTTCTTCCAAATGCTTTGTGTCTTCCCCCAGATGTAGGCGTAAATTTTCTCCTCTGTTTTTTAATCATGGGGGCTTCGGCGAAGTTCACCCTTTCACGTTTTCGATGCGCAGCGCTTTATTGTTCAGCGCTGACACTTCTGTAAACAACTCATTTCTGCACCTGCCACCTTCCTTTAACTGAGATTATTTTCTTGTTAGCTGACTGTTTTTAATTGAAGGCTTCAGATCTCCTTCTAAAGCGCAGCCTTTATTTGCTGACAGGTAGAGCAGGCTATGAATGGAGATTAATTGCATGTCACATACCTCTGTATCAAACTTGCTGTGTCTTAACAATCTATAAGGTCTCGAGGCCTTCCAGTGGCTGCGGAGGTTTCTGGCTCTGCAGGCTGGAAATGAAGGAGCTGAAGCTTTTATCGTGCTGGCAAACTGCGTTACCATAAGAATTCTTGTGTTTAAAATAAAAATCACAAAGAGAGGAGGAAACGGACGGATGTACAAGGCAATATCATCTGCTTCCTTACATTAAAGTTTGGTCTGGAGCGCAGGACTGCTCACATAATGCACAAAAGCAGGTAGTCGGTGGCTCCCTAGTCGCAGTTATCACGTGTTCTTATCACGTAAGACATCTCTGAGGTTGCCGTGGTTGAAAGCCAACACAATATAGCTATTCTCTCTACATTGCAATCCTGCAGCACTAATGAGTACTTGTGTTTTTTTGTTTTTTTTTTTTTTTTCTGTTTATGAGCGGCTGCGGTTGCAACAATTAAGTCCCACCTTGCAAAAATCGGCAACCCGGGTTTCGTTAAGGCTTTGTTGCCAGTTAATCGCGCAGAGTCTCTCTTCTGGCTCAAGGTCCCTTTCACAGCTGTTTTTACTTAAAGGGTATTTCATACTTGTTTTTACACAAATGTCTTCTGAAGGCTGAAACGGTGGTTTTCAAAAATGTGATACATCTCTGACAAACCCAGGGATTCTGGATTTGTTCGCAGAAGCAAAGGCAGGCTGGCAGGCTGATTATCTTCCCTTCACCTGCCTTGCTTGATGCTCTTCGGTTTCAGACGGTAGGTCTGGAAAGCAGTTTTCTTGCTGGAGTTTGGGCAACAGGAAGGACAGAGCAGGTGCTGCACCGGGAGACGGTGACTGCACCTGCACGGCATAACAAAGCTGGGAGCTGCTAATTGCAAAGCAAGCAGCCTCAGCGCTGGTTTAAAAATAAACAGCAAAATGCTCTGTCTTGTGAGGGCTCCTAAGCCCCACTCAGTGTTGATGTAGCATCATGAGTAGCTCTGGAATCGAAATCTCAGGGAATTTGGGGTGGAGGCTTAGCAGCTGAAAATTTGGGGACCTGTTCTCAGTTCCCCCCTGGTCCCGTTGCACAGGGGAGAACATCCCGTTCAGCCCAGTGCGGGAGGATGGATGGAGATGGCTTCAATTCTCAAGGCTTTCTCTGACTCAGCCCTGCAAAAGCAGGGAGGGACATCTGAAAAATGTTTCACAATTAAACCATCCTTTCCTCGAGCTCGCAGAAAAAGTCGAGAAGCACCGTGTGTGATGGTACATAGCTTTTCTTTTGACAGGTGGGACAGGAGATGATACAACCAGCCTTCCAAATCCCTGGCTGTCTCGGGATGTATCCTGGCAATATATTCATCTAGTCTCAGGGAAGCTCAAGGTACCTGCACTCTCTGTGTTGATAGGTGGCCTAAACTTTAAAAATTAATTTTCCCAGCCAGCTGGGGTGATAAACTGCAGGACGGACTGCGTGAAGCATCCAACAAGTGTTAGAGCGGACTGGTTGGCTCTGCGTTATCTTGCATCACTAAAATGTTGTGGTTCTGTGGGACTAATTCCTCCGTACGTGGAGTGTAGGATTTCTGAAAAAAAAAAAAAAAAAAAAAAGAAAAGTGAGAGCGTGTATGTGCATGGAGAGAATACACATGGCATCTTAATACCTTTCAGCTCTGCTCATTGAGCGCTGATTAACTCCTAGAATTTAGTGCTGCCATTAAAAGGTTATTTACTACCCGGACTTCAGTGGTTGTGACACAGTTCTTATGATGCTGTGCATCTCCTGCAGGATTAAAGTGGATAACTGCAATTGCCTCTAGAAACTCCCCTGAAACACTTGATGAAATCTCAACTAATTTTTTTTTTTTTTCTTCCCCCCCCCCCTTACCTTTTTAGCTGCAGGAAATGAAAAGGAGAGTCCTGTAAACTTGCAGAGTGGATCGCAGAGAGCAATCTATAAACATCAAGAATATAATGTTACTGACAAGCAGTAAAACTAACATTAGGGTGATTTACTCTAGAGCTGCTTACATATTGCTCTTCCTGATCCACTTTGAGAGTTTATGGTTAGGCTTTCTTTTTCATTTCCTGGTGCTATAAACACAGCGACTGGCTCTGAAAGGGGCTCTGCCTGGTTTGCAGAAGTGACCCTGGTTCTCCTATAACTTATCCAGCAGCTGATCTGTGCTGACATCCCAGTAAGTAAATACCGTATTAGAGCTAATCACACACTCATGGAGCTAATCTGCGCTTAAAAATGACAGAGACGCAACTGATATTTGCACAAGTTCTGGGAGCAGTTTGTTTTTTCTTGTTCTTTCACTGCGGAAATAAAGCCTCGGCGTGGTTTCTCTCGCCGACCCATTTCCACTGTGCTGGTTTTAGGCTGGTTTGTATATAATAAATTGTCCCCTTAGCCTCATCTGTTCTTAAGCAGTAAGCTCCTCAGAGCAAGATAGATCCTTTGTGCTTAGATATATGTACTTGGGTACTTTCTGAGTAATTTGTAAGTGTTGGAAGCCTCGGCATCATTAGGCCTGTCATAAGCCGATGCTGTATCTTGGACGCACAATTAAAATTGCATAGAGACGTACAGAAAATGCAGTTTAGCTTAAGGATTAGAAGATTGGCCTGGGATTTTAAAAAGCTTCACTCAGCTGCTCTGGCAAAGCCTTCCTCTTATCCCAGGCAGGCCACCTAGGGCTAAATTACTAGCAGTGAACTTGACATTAATAGGCCTTTTGGCCGGACACCTCTGTGCTCCCGGCGCTCCCAGAAGCACTGCTGGAGGTAGGTGGGGGTTTGAGAGCGATGCTGTGGATTGGTGTTGAGAGGTGGGGATGCGCAGTTGCCCCATCTCAGCACAGCGGAGGGGTTGTGTTGGGATGCTTCGGTACCTCGGAGCCGTGTTCTGGCTTTAAGTTCTGTTTCTCAGGCGTGAAGTGGGGGCTGCAGGTTGTGTGGCATGACTGGCTCAGACCCGGTTCCTCTGTGGGTCAGGAGCCCTCCCGGTAGGAGGAGAGGCAGGGAGACAGAGGAAGGGGCTAGTGAGGACGTGGAGGAGTCTGCATTTGGCTGAAATGCGCTTATTAGCGGGTGCTCCCGTGGGAACTGATGCTTTTGGCGGAATAAATCCAGAAAGGAGAACGGGACTGTCGTGGATTCATGGGTTATGATCTGGATTCACTTCTTCCCAGGCTGCTGTGGTGAGAGTTGCATCTCCCTGGGCTTGCCCTTCTGTCACTCTGAACAGGAGGTGGGAAGAGAGCCCTGGGGGGATGCCCAAGCATCAGCCTTGTTCCCCTCCACCTCTTTCCTTATGCTCTTTGCTTTGAGCTCCTTTTTGTGGTGTTTGGTGTTTTTTGTGGTTTTTTTTTTTTTCCCTCCACACACTCCCCCCAAGCTCTAAGCCTGTCTTGAGCGTGTCACGAGCAGGCAACAAAAAGAAATGAGGGCTCATGACTTTAACAGAAAAAAAGTATTAATTTCTCCTGTGGCATTTTGATCTTGAGACGTGCTTGCAGGTGGAGGAGCTGTTTTTAAGGAGCTGTGCAGATTCCTGGGGTGTGCTAAACAGTGCTGGCTGTTGTACTGGCAGCTGAAGCATAAGGAGCTGAAAGTCTTGCAAGCAGGATATTAAACCGACATTAGTGTCACAGTATGGGGTGCGAGTTAAAGGTTGGAGAGGCCTGTGGATGTACAACACCATAGGTTTGAAGCCAATCTTTTCCCTGCTAGGGGAAACCTTGCTGAAGTACAAGGGTGATATTCTCCTCTACCGAGCAGGCGTGATTAGAACCGTTTTTTGTTTGCAGTGAGATTTCGGTGAAAGTTTCTGCGAAGAACATAAATATTTACGCAAATACAAGACACTTAATCCTTTTATCTTCCAGTTCAAGTTAAATTGCTGCATATAGATGTGGTTTCCAGGTGAGAGAATACCGTGTTTGCTTCTTTCTAGCTGCCTCTGAGCAAGCACAGGGCGCAGTATTTCGGCGACAACCTTGCAGGAGAACTCATGTTGTGATACAAGTGCACGTAGGCTGGTGCACAACCAACCCGTTTTTCAGTTCTTTATGAAGATCATTCTTGTGAAAACCACGGGTTAGGGTTTCCTTGAAGTGTCAGTGAATATCTTGCACTGACACTTCAGAAATGCTTTGGATCCTGCTCTGAATGAGATGACCACTTCTTCTGTGTCCTTAATGCCAAAAGCCTTTCGCAGCAGCAGAATTTTTAGGGCTTGAGGCAGGTGGAACCGCACTTGGTCCAACAGACTTGATCCACATTTCACTCCACCTTCCCCTTCCTTCTGCTCGGTGGTTTCCTTGTAGCTGCTTATTTGTCTTACACCACTGCAGTTAGAGAGAAGCTCTGTCATCTCATGCAATATTTAGATCCTCTCCTCTCCGCAATCACTTCAATGTCTGAACTTCTCCAAATTAAGTCTTCAAACCGACTCGTGTCTCTAGATCAGGCAGCTTGGTACGCTGCCTCGAGGGTGTCCCGGTGCACAGCCAGGTTTCTTAGCCAAGGATGAGTACCACTGCCTGTGAGTTTTAACCCGTAATTCTCTTTCCCAGATGCTGAAGGCTACCTGGTGGATGGACTGCGGAATGAGCACTTGAGTGCTAAAGCAAGGGAGCAGAGGGATGTGATTCTCTTCGGCTTCCGGCAAGTCAAAGCCAGGTTTGTGTTGCCTCAATTACTCTAATGAAAAATGCTTCGGAACAGTGTCACGCCTTGGGTACCACATGCTGTATTCAGCTGGACGTTGACCCAAACTTCGAAATTTAGTGGACATTCAGGGCTTGGTATAACGTGCGAGTGTGCTGCACGCTGGTTCGTACACTCACCTGTTTAACCAGTTTTATTCTTGTCTGCCAAATTGTCATTCGTTTGGAGTTTTGTATTTCAAACTAAGAAAACTATGCTCTGGGCTGCGTCCGTACAGCTCTTTGCATGTGGGTCTCTGGTCCTGTCCTTCTTCCTTGTGCTAGAGAGCGTTTTGTGGGGAAAAAAAAAAAATCCATCGCTTGATACTTAAGCTTGTGGCTAAATCAATACAGTGAGCAAAGATTCATGCTGCTGGCTTCATGCTGAAGGCATCTATTTCACGAGTGGCTCCTGAACTCAAATATGTATTGCCTGGACCTTGATACAGTAAAAAGGAATAAAGAGGACTTCTGGAATTAAAGCTCAAGTCTGACCCAGGTTCAAAAATCTCATGTCCTCAGGACTGTTCAAATCCTGCATGAGAACATGAGCTGCATCATTTGGATTAAGTGAGTGAACAAAGGTTGTTCTCTTGTGCCGGGGAAAATCAAGGAACACAAATAGAAAACAGGTTGCTGGAGGCTTACATAAAACTTTCAGCCTCAGCTGCATTATATTTTTGGCTAGAAACGTGATCCAGAGCTTGCTGTTAATGCCCTAGTTATAAGATATGAGTTGTGTCACTTGACGTTAAGACCTGACCATAAAACTCAGGGTGGCTGACTGATCTAAGCATCCAGTTTAAATAAAACTGCTGTCGAGTCCCTGAGAAGTGGAGAATTTTATCCTTCGGAAGGGCACAGCCAGACTCTATTCCCTGCAGTCCCACTGAAGAACTTTGCAAGATGCCCTGCTGTATCTTAATCGATCTTTCCCGCTGGCTAATTAAGCATCAGTTTTACTCAGCAATTCGGGACTCTGTAATTATCAGCCTGGGTTGCCCTGAATAATTGAAACAAGCTGAACGCCGAAGATGGAAGCCTTTGGAAAATGGGGCTGTAGCATATCTAATAGAAGAATGGGGTGTGTGTGTGTGTGTGTGTGTGTGTGTAACAGTGTCCTGTCCTATTGTAGAAGAAAGGGCTGGACTCCATGTTTGTAACGGATTAGAATGGTTTCTCCGAAAAATTCCCACTCGTGGGCAGGTGTTGATCTTGGATGGGAAGAGTCAAGTAAGCAGTATTCTGAACCTGAAGCATTCAGACATCAACCCCAAGAGTTTTTAAAACTGTCCTGAGAACACGAAACTCTAAAAGCGACAACGCTTTATCTTCATATAATTCTACATTAGGTCGATTTTTAATGAATTAAAAATAGCGTTGAACTTGATAGGTTCGTGAGGCGCTTGGCAAACCTGGAAATACTGATTGTTCTTGCTTCTGGAAGTGTGTGCTCTGTCTGCGTGCTGTTGTGGATGACGCTTGAGCAGCAGGGAAAGGGGCTGCTGTGACCATCGTCCCGTGGACCTCTCTGGCTTCCCGGGGGGGGGGGTTCTGTGTGGTTTTGGTGACTTGCTCAAGAAGGAGCTGCCTTTATGGTCCTGGGGTAAACACTGATGTTGCGATGCAGAACTCAACCTTGGTCCCGAGCTCTCTCTCAACCAAAGAATACAATTTGGGATAAAGCTTTTAGAGCAAAATCTCTTAAGTAGGAAATGTGACGGAGCAGCCTTTGTGATCTGCAGATTCCTCCTGCATGCTCCGGTTAAGACGTGGGCCTCCATCCTGTTGCTTATTGAAATAAATTGCAGGTATTTCTGGAGGGGAAAGTGAGACCTTTGAGCAAAGACTACAGGGCACTGATGATTTCCTACTTGTGTTTTATTGCCTGGTGGCATTTGGAAAGGGTGAGAAGAACAGTATTCAAATGTCCTTGTTCTGACCTGAGCCATTAATGCAATGATTTGTGGTGGGAGATTACCGTAACAATGACTATATCTTTTTATTTGAAAGGATCTAAGCGGGTCTTGCTCTTGGGGATGAGGCGCGGGTTTGTCTCTTTGGGGAGCTTCCTGTGGCTTTTGTGGCGGGTGTTCAGGAAATCATCCGCCGTCGTCGTCAGGAAGCGCCTGCCTCCCCCGAGCAGCCCCGCTCTCCACGTTTCACCTCTGCGGGCTGAAACACAACACGGCGGGTAGGGTTTCGTTATTTGGGTTCGTAATGGACATAAGTAAACTGCTCAGCTACAGGGGAGACGCACATGTGTCTCGGAAAGGGAAGAGCTTCATCTAGTATGATTATCCTGAGCCAGGCTCAATAACTGTTCCTGTAACTTGGCCGTCAGGTCTTTATATCGCTGCTCTCCCCGTGGCCTCATAACGTTCCCCCACCAGGAGGTTCGCTGATGACTATAATGTGAACAAGTGGTTGGGTTTTATGTCTACATGTGCTACCTGTGAGGATATATTGTTCCCGTCTCGCCGCAAGAAGTGCGGTAGGTAGGGAGGGGATTGTGTTTGCAGGTTATAATTTTTTTCCGAGGCAGTCTGGGGTATTTTTGCTCGAGGAGCCATGTCAGAGGCGTTGCAGGCGGTGGCTGTGGGGAGGCTGTCGCCATACGCCTGAGTTATGAGTCCCTGTACCGTTTTACTTTTTTTTTTTTTTTTTTTTTTTTTTTTTTTTTTTTTTTTCCCCCTCCCTACTAACTCAGATCCTATCCCACTCTCTAATATCTTATATGTAAATCCTGGCCTGGCATTATTTTTTTCCTAATAATCTCTTTGGCTTTGAGAGTATCTTTTTTTATAATTGCTTTCCCTGATTGCTTTGCATGGCATCTAGGCAAACAAGCCACAAAACACAACCGGAGCCTCAGTCCCCAGGAATAATCTGTGTGAGGGATGAGGATCTCGTAGCACAGTAGCGTGTACAGTTACCCGTGTCCTGACTAGGCTGGGGACTCTGCTCTACTCTCTGAACCGAAAAACAAAGAGTTTGTAATGGGTAAAACTTGTTTCAAAAGCAGCTTTGGTTTGGGGGAGGGTAGGGGGAGGATGTGGTGCCGAGACAGTTTTGCTCGTCTCCCAGAAACCCCGAAGGTTTTCAGTTGCTTCTGTTTTAGGTCCGTTGGTGCTGAGGGGTTGTTTCAAGTTGTTCCTTGGGAACATCACTGATGTTTCTTGTGTCCTAACAAAGCCGGCTGCAGAGCGAGCAGCAGATGTCCGACACCTGGGATGAATCGGATACATGACTCCGCTCAGGAACACAAGCCCATTCTTGTCCTTTGGCAAGATCAGTAACCAAAAAAAAAAAAAGTCTTCTTGCTGTTAAATGACCTCACCTCAGCATTTCGACATTTCTAGAGCAGTTACAATGGCAGGGGGTGAGATGGGGAGAATGGGATTTATTTAAAAATATGGAGATAAATAGTTCCTCCATCTCCTTGGAGTCAGCTAGTCATTTAAACTCCCTGTTGGAAGGCAAGTTTGTATTGATGGAAACAAATTCTTAATTTTGTTTTTTTTTTTTTCCCCCTGAGGTGAAATGTAATAGCGCTAAAAGGAGAGCGAGGCAGATCTGCTGTATATCAAAGCCGAAATGAAGAGAAAGTGGTTTAATTAATGTTGAGTTTCTCACATACACCCACTAGGAAATCCAAAATAGACACAGAAACTTTACCTTTAATTTTCTCCGCTGTGACGAAACCAACGGTGTAAACCAGGGGCCCAATCCTCCTACTCGTAACTGATACACAGGCTTGTTTTCTGACATTCCTACCAGCAGCAGGAGCTCCAGTGTAGACCAGGCTCTTCACCCCTGGGTAACAAGCCCCAAACCTCATCTTACTGCCTCAACTAATGCTCCTTAAAGTTTATGGCGATATTCCCAGCGCTGTCAGTGAGGAAAACTGCATGTGGTCTTTTAACTCTGCAGTGAAACTTCTCACATCTCCGACATCTTCAGGTGATGTCCTGGCCTGCTAAGGAGAGCCCGCAGGAGCCAAGGTCTTTCCCAGACCTCCACAATTGCTGCGTTTCACGCCGGTATCTGTGTGCGGTGTCACAGATGTGAGTGTGCTGTGGCTGGCAGGGTGTTTGGACTCCCAGCCTGAACAACAGACGCGTGGTCCTTGCCTGGTCGAGTGATTTTTAGGTGTCTAAGTCTGGGGCGAGGGGTTTAAACGTCTAATTCTGTAGTGAAACAGCATGGCTGTCCTGTATCTTCAACCAGAGCCTGGGCTCTGCCACCCTGAGTTCATGAAGTTGAGAAAAAATAAATACAGCCTCTGAGCTTAGAAATCGCTCACCCTGAGTGCAGAGATGCGAAATACAGAAGGGGCCAGAGATGCTCCCAGTGCCTGGGGGTGTGTTTCCATACTCTGTTTCAGAAATACTTGGTTTTGGGGAGCAAACTTGGGTAACACCATCACCCAGTTCCTGCTGGGTGCTTTGCCACCTCTGGCCCTGACAGTGTTAATGTCAGTGAGAAATCCTGCACTTGCTACGTGAGCTGACACAGGATGGTTTGACCCCAGATGGAAGCGTTAAGGGTAAAGACAACACAGCGTGTCTGCCTCTGGTTTGGGGGTCCTTGGGGTTGTGCTACAAATCTCAGCAAGCTGTTGTAGCATGTGGGTTGTGCAGGGTGTCACAAACCAGCGAGCTACTGGTTTTTATTGGTTTCCGGGTGTAGCTGAACTGCAGAGGCTTCAACACCAGGGGAACTTCAGCCTAATTATTAAGTTGAACTCAATCCTTTCTGTGGCAAGGCATTACAGTAGGATTGTAAAAGACTCACTAACGAAAATCCATCCAAAATTTTGTCTAAAGCGGTGTTTGGCCTGTTTTAATAACCTCCTAACTGTATTAACTACATTTATTACTTCAATTTTCAACCTTATTTTAAAGTTTTAAGATTGAAATGAAAGAAAACGCAATTTCAGGGTAATTTTGCTTCATTAGTGTAAATGCACTG